CACCCCACGCTGTGCCCTGCCAACCGAGTTACAACGCTGCTCTGCAGAAGCAGCGGCGAGGGCAGCCCAGAGGGGAGCATTGCCGGTATCTGCTGCCTCCCCAGAGCCCGGGGCCAGGGCTGGGAGGCAGCTGGAGCCGGGGCCAGGGCAGAGAGGTAGCAGATATTTGCAGCTGGCCCAGGTTCTGGGTAGCTGCTGATAGCCACAGAGCCTGGGCTGCTTGTAGCAGAGCTTCTATCCTCCCAGTCAGCTGGTGGGAGCAGCCCAGGCTCTGTGGCTATCAGCAGCTATCCAGAGCTGAGGCCAGCTGCAGCCAGGAGGCTACAAACAGTTGCTGCCCTCCTGCCCTAGCCCCAGCTGTCTCCAGGCCCCAGACTAGGGGAAGGCAGCAGGTTCCAGCACTGCACCTGTTGGGGCCAGGGCCAGGGTTGGGGAGGCAGCAGCTGTTCGTAGCCTCCTGGCTGCAGCCAGCCTGGTTTTGGGTAGCTGCGGCCAGGCTACTCCCAGCAGGGCTTGCAGCCTCCCAGCTGCCTGCTGGGAGCAGCCCAGGCTCTGTGGCTATCAGCAGCTACCCAGAGCTGGGGCCAGCTGCAGCCGGGAGGCTGCAAACAGCTGCTGCCTCCCTGCCCCCAACACATGCCGAGGAAAATGGCCTCGCATGCCATGCTCAGCACACGTGCCGGGGGTTGCCGACCCATGGCCTAGCCTAACACAAAACCTGGGTGGAAACCACCACAGAGTCCCAGCATCTGTCTCTTTAATGGGTCTTCCTGCATTTCTGAAAACACTCTCAGGGCAGTGCTGCCTTGTGACACAATGAAAACAGAGTAACAACACAACAGCAGCCCTCTGAAGCACAGCAGCCATGGAATCTTTAACAAGCAGTGACAATTACACCAATTAATTTATCAAAGGCTCTTCACCTCCCCACTCGAGTTTGTGTGGGGACTAACAAAATGGGGTCATAGTCAATGATTAGGGCTCTAAAATACTATTGCAAAATATAAATACTGCCCAAAAGAATTTGGTGCGTGTCCTGTCTCCCTCATTCCTGATTCATTACAAGCAACAAAAATATCACATGCAAGTTAGCTGTGCAACAAAGTTGTGAGTGGTTGAGTTACCTCCAGCACTACAATGGACCCCCTTAAGTGATGCCAGAATTTTGAAATTATTTTTGCTATAATCTGTATTAGAATATTTACATATAAAGTGTATTAATTTGAACATAATTTCTTCACCTATAGCCTCAATCAATTTTTAAAATGTAGAAAGTTTGAGGGGTCTTTTAAAATTTGGTATCCAAAATTTCTTAAATGACTGCATCTAATTTAATCTTACCTCCACTTAATTAAAGATTACTTAAAAATTCTCTAAAAAATTCACGCTGTGCTCAAAGAAAAAGTGCTGCACTTTTGATTTAAATACAAACTGGAACTCAACCTTAACTACAAAGTTACAAGGGTTACCATAAAAAGGGGGGGAAAATCCACACAGATTTTTGATACAACCTGTACTGTTGCTAAATTTAATTTGTAAACATGTTAATTGTCACATTTATTCGATTCTAAGCAAGGTTCCCCCCCCCCATTCAACATGGAGAAAACAGCCTTGTCTTAGTATCAGACTGCTCCACCTGGAAGCTGTGAGGAGGGGTTGTCCAGAGAGCCCAGATCAGCTGGGGACAGCAGCAGTGATACACAGGTTCCTTCTTCCAGTGTCTGCTCCATGCCTGGCTCCCCTCCCTGCCTCTCCCCCGCTCAACTATTTGCCATGCTGGCACGGAGCAGACACTGGAAAGGCAATCCTGTATGCCACTGCTCTGCTATCCCTGGCCTCCCCACAGCTGACTCCCAGCTGATGCAGGCACATGGGGAGCTCCATATCTGCTCCTGCCCTATGCTGCAAGTAGCTGTGTCATCAGCCCTGCTTGGTAAGGAACAGCATCAGTAACATGCAGGTTCCTCTTTCCAGCCTATGACAGATCAAGGAGAAGCAATGGTCTCAAGTTGCAACAAGGGAAGTTTAGGTTGGATATTAGGAAAAGCTCTCTCAAGAAGAGTAGTAAAGCACTGGAACAGGCTACCCAGAAAAGCTGTGGAATCTCCATTCTTGGAGGTTTTTAAGACCCAGCTAAACAAAGCCCTGGCTGGAATGATCTAGTTGGCAATAGCCCTGCCTGGAGCAGGGAGTTGGACTAGATGATCTCCTGAGATCCCTTCCAACCCTAATTTTCTATGATTGGTTGCCTCTGACAAGTACCAGAGGCAACATTTGTTTCTATAACGACTGACGTGTCAGCTGATTTACAAACATTGATAGCGGTAACAACATGGCTACTCACTATTAATCCTCCTGCTTACTATGATGATCCTATTTCACTAATGGAAAACTGACAGGCACAGATATTAGGGCCCCAAATACTGCAAGCACTTATACATGGAGGTATCTCTACATGCATAAACAGTTGCACTGAACTCAGTGAGATATTACATACAGAATGAGAGCCTACAAAACTTGCTCCATTTCAAAAAGCAAGTTTATGGCAAAGCTACTAACTCAATGCAAATCTCCTGAGCTGCACTAACAACAGATTATCCTGCTTTCCCTGGATTCAAAGAATTTCATTCTCATCCCTTCATTTTGGAAAGCTTGGCTACCTCATCTACATGGCCTAAGTCAGGGCTACGTAACTTCCGAGTGACCAGGGATGACAGACTCCCTGGCCACATGCTGCAACACACAAGAAGCCCTCCAGGTCTCACTACACACCTACCTCTTGCCGTGTCCAGGAAGCCAGTGCCCTGTCCCTGCCCTGCTATACTGTGCTGGCACCATGATGACATGCCACACAGGTGCTGTGGGTTCCCTCAGCCCTGCAGAGGATGTGACCCTGCCCTGTCCTCAGGGGTGGGGGCAGGAAGCTGGAGGGAGAGGGAACCCTGGAACTCTAGCTGCAGCAGCAGCTGAAGCAGTGGAGGGAAACCAGCACCCAGACCAGGAGTCCAGGGACCACAGGTTAACTCCTCAAGGGCCAGATGCAGCCCTGGCCTAAGTAGTAATGTCACAGAAGATGTCACCAGATGGCACTATTTAAGACAGCCTTACATTTTATTTTTCTTAATATGCATGTACTGTATGACCTTTGAGCTCTGGAAAATAACAAGAGGTTTTGCTTTCTCCTTTAACCTAACTAGAAATCATCAGTGGTGCAAACTTCCTTCCATTGAACCTGGCATTGAACTGTGAGCTGAGATTCTTGAAAAAGAAGATTGTCTGCAATGCTGTTTTCTGACATCTCTATTGAAATGCTGATGCATAATGTAGCATAAATAAAACAAACTATCCACAGGGAATACTAATACCCTACATATCTTTGTTTTCTCCTAAAGTGGAAAACTGACCAGAGTAGATCAGTTTCCGTTAGCTGGAAACAAATATTTGGTTAAATTATTAGCCATAAGGTGTCAGGACAAATTTTGAAACCCAACTTCTAAATACCTAGTCTGGGCTGGCAACATGGATTGACCAGGTATACAGCAACTTGACTAGTGTGTAAAAAAGTTTTTTCAGGAAACAGAGACAACCAGAAAACTGATCAAACTGAAATGTGCTAACATAAGATGAACTGCAAACAGGTCTTGGAAAACTACAAAACTCTCATGACCAAAAACTCCAGAGCACATAGACTATCCTAAGTATCAGCTGTTTGGAGGAAGAATCAAGTCAACCAGAAAACCTGGGTAAGAGTAGAAATCAATATACTCCACCCATTTTATACCCCTGAAGAAGTTCAGAGGCAGAAAAAACAAAGGTTCTGATTACAATAATCCAAAACCCCATGCTCTTTGAAGGATAAATCTCCTGGGAAGCTTTCTTAACTCAATTTATCATATTAGAAATTAATGACTTGCAATATAAATGAGAAGCATTTTAGGAGATTGCTGTTTCTAGCAATTAAATTTAAGTCAGTCAGTGCTGAGGTTTATCCCCAAAGAGAGAGCCTGGGGTGGTAGAAGTGCACAACTGATTGCTCAACAGCAGCCACCCCTGCGTGCTGCCCAGGATTCAGCTAAGGCAGTGGTCACCAACCAGCGGATCTCAATCCACTGGTAGATCTCAGAGCCTCTTGGAGTCAATCCAAGGCTGGGGTGGGAGGCTTGAGTGCCCACGTGCATACACAGGTGTGCCCCAGTCCAGCAGGTCAGTCCCTGGGAGACAGAAGGGGCAGGGGCCAGATCAAGGCCCCTGCAGTGAGGGACAGTGCTGCAGAGGCAGGAGCAGGGGTAAGCTGGGTGGGGCCCCTGCTGGGTGGGATTTACCTGCTGGGGAGGTGCACCTCCAAATAATTTTTTTTCCCTCTGCCTCCATCTGCCCCCCTCCCTTCCACTCCCCACAGACTTACCTGCTGGACAGGGGAGAGGTGGGAAGGAGGGGGGTGGGGCAGCAGCAGTGCACAGTAGATCTTGGGTTGCTTTTAAATGCCAAAGTTGATCTCCTTTGGTAGGAGACCACTGAGCTAAGAGACCCCACCTCAGCTGAGAGAAGACCGGTGTTTTGGCCTAAACAGATACCAGTAGGGGTATTTAGGATAAATTAGCAATGAACCAGCTAACTGATGGGTGTGGACTAAGATCACCAAGACAAAAATGACACTTGGGGATGGAAACAAAAGTAAAAATACCAACTGGGGAAGCAGCTTGGGCACTTGCCCATACCCTGAGGTAGCAACAGGTCAGGATGAAGGATGTCTCCTCAGCCCAACCATCTGCAAGAAGCGAAGGATTCCCTGTTCACCGAACAGGAGCAGATGCAGAGCCCACCACGCAGGCAACCACTGCCCAGAGGAAACCAAAAGCCCAGAGAGGCTCAGATGGGAAAAAAACCAAGGTGCCAAAACGCAGAAGGCAGCGCGGGTGCGGAGCTGTCAGCAACACGAACGCTGTCGCTGTCAGCCACCTGCAGTGAAGCAGCGGAGGGCGATGAGGGCCACCACGTACCTGCTCCAGGACGTCCAGCTTCAGCTCCAGCTTGCTCAGGACCACGTCTCCTCCCCATAGCGACAGCTGCAAGTCCGAGGGCTTCAGGTTCTTAATGTAGCGATTCACGTAACTCATTAAGATGGGGGTCACGTAGGACTCCAGCATCCTGGCGGAGCCGGGGCCGCGGCCAAGCGCTGGGGGAGGAAAGCGAGAGCTGGTCAGCGCCGGCCCTCGCCGCGCGGGCCGGGGGGAACCACAAGCGGCGGCAGCCGCGAGGCTAGGGCCCGGCT